ACTGTAGACATTGCCAGGGATGTTTTGTTTTTGTTGGGGGAGGGGGGTTGTGGGGATGGTTGAGGAGTAGATGGGGGTGTGGGAGCGAGGGGAGATGGGGAGATATAGGTTGAGGTAAGTAGGGAGTGTAAATTGGTGAGGAGGAAAGGGAAGACAGTGGGGAGAAAGTGCTTGGAAGAGAGAGAAAGGGAGGGGAGTGGTGTTAGGGTGTGGGAGAGAGGTCAGATAGGGTGTGGGTGCAGGAGGGAGTGTTGAGGTCTGGGAGAGGAGGTCGATGAGAGGTTGAATGAAGAGAAAAACAAAAACAAATATATTTTATAAGAGGGGGAGGAAGAAGAGGTGTGGGAGAGAGGAGAGGGATGATGGGGAGGTAGATGAGAGGAGGAGGAAGGAGGGGGTGGGAGAGAGAGGGGATGAGGGAGGTAGATGAGAGGGGAGGAAGGAGGGTGTGGGAGGTAGAGAGGAGGGGATGAGGGGAGGTAGATGAGAGGGGGGGAAGGAGGGGTGGGAAGAGGAGGATGAGGGGAGGTAGATGAGAGGGGGAGGTGAAGGAGGGGTGGGGAGAGGAGGATGAGGGGAGGTAGATGAGAGGGAGGAAGAGGTGTGGAAGAGAGGAGGGATGAGGGGGAGGTAGATGAGAGGGGGGAGGAAGGAGGGTGGAAGAGAGGAGGGATGAGGGGAGGTAGATGAGAGGGGGAGGGAGGGGGGGGAAGAGGGAGGGATGATGGGGAGGTAGATGAGAGGGGGAGGAAGGAGGGTGTGGAAGAGAGGAGGGATGAGGGGAGGGTAGATGAGGAGGGGGAGGAAGGAGGGGTGTAGGAAGAGAGGGGAGGGATGAGGGGGAGGAGAGAGAGGGGGGGAGGAAGAGGGTGGGGAGAGGGAGGGATGAGGGAGGTAGATGAGAGGGGGAGGAGAGAGGGTGTGGGAGAGAGGAGGGATGAGGGGGGAGGCAGATGAGAGGGGAGGAAGGAGAGGTGGGAAGAGGAGGGATGAGGGGAGGTAGATGAGAGGGGGAGGGGAGGGTGGAAGAGAGGAGGGAGGAGGGGAAGAAGGAGGGAGTGTGGGGAAGAGAGGAGGGATGAGGGGGAGGTAGAGAGAGGGAGGAGAGGTGGGAAGAGGAGGATGATGGGGAGGTAGATGAGAGGGAGGAAGAGGGGTGTGGAAGAGAGGAGGATGATGGGGAGGTAGATGAGAGGGGGATGGGAGAGGGAAGAGAGGAGGGATGAGGGGAGGTAGATGAGAGGGGGAGGAAGAGAGGGGGAGGAAGGAGGGGTATGGGAGAGAGGAGGGGTGATGGGGAGGTAGATGAGAGGGAAAGAAGTGGGGGTGTGAGAGGGACGGATATTTGGAAGGTTACACTGCAGGGAGCAACACTTCAATTTGTCTCCTTCCTCAGCTCATCACTCCCTCCTTACCTACTTCTTTCCCACCCTTCTCTCCTTTCCCCCTTCCCTCCCCAGCCACTAAAGGTGCAGTCACGGAAAAAATGTCCTGTCAGTCGTGCGCCCCATCCATGAACCCTGAGACTCATGAACCTGTGAGTCTCGGGTTCACGAGTCTCAGGACAGAGGAGTGACAGGACTTTGTTCCGTAACTGTACGGTCAACAAAAAGTGTTCTGCACCCCTGGGTCTGACGGCCTTCACCACCGTCACGGACTGAGGCCATGTTCATTTGGTAAGGTTGGTACTTCTGGTTGTGTGATGTACTGTGTGAACCAGTGTGGTGTATCACGTATAGTTAATACAGAGAAATGAACGGGAATCACCCTAGGAAATGAGTGTTATTCAGAATTATTTGTTGTTGACTGTACATGCATAATTACAGGTACAAACAGCAAAGAGACAGTTACGAGTGCTGTTACAAGTATAGTTACAGATAAAAGTACAGGTGTTTAATTACATATATACGTATACATAGAGTATATAAGTTTAACTACAGGTACAGACACTCGGTAGAGGAAGTCCAGCGTAACTGCAACACACACACACACACACACACACACACACACACACACTATCTTGCGACACAAACCTACAGCTCATCGTGTATGTTTTGACACCTTCACACACCTGACACGAGGTTATGACACACCCGTCGCCACCTTGACACCAGACTCGTCGCCCACATGATATAGAAAATGGATGTTTTATGTAGTTTATGATGAGATAATGTGAAGCTGCTGTCAGTCTCACGGCTGGTTAAATGAAGCCATTACTGTGAGCGATTATTGGATCATGTCTGTCTGTCTGTCTGTCTGTCTGTCTGTCTGTCTGTCTGTGTCTGTCTGTCTGCGTGTTCTTTTTATTTCTTTGTCTATCTGGGTTTGTATATGTATGTATGTATGTATGTATGTATGTATGTAATATCTGTATATTCGTACGCGTGTGATTTAAAACCCTAACCGTACTTAGTACTCAGTACTTAGTAGGTAGTAGGCAGATATAAAACAGGGAAGTACTACCGCCTGGGAAGATATTGGAAGCATAATGTGTTGTCTAATGGTAGACCCTGCTGCCATATGACATCACGAAAATTGTGACCAAGTCCCAGGTTGCTGATCTGACTTTCTGCTTCATTTACACACAATTGCTGGGTCTCAATTGTTTCTTTTATCATTTACAACACAACATACAAACCTAACCTAACCTAACCCCCTCAGTGAAGAAAGCCCTGTACAGCACCACCACAGCACTCAACAGGGCTTAACAGTCCCCCCCCCCCAGTGTAAGAATAACTCACGTTTATGGAAGCTGCGCCAGACGAAATAGTATCCTTCCTCTCCCAATAGTGGCGCTCCTTTATGGCACCAATAGTGGAGTTAAAGTAGCGAGTTATGTTAGTGGTGCTGGAGGAGTCTGAGTTATTGTCAACACTCTACCTGCTGTGTCACTTGGGCCTGTTGTTGGCTCATGTTAACACCTGGAGGTTTATCCCCTACACGATATGTACAGTTAATCAAAAACAATCGTCTCTACAAAATTGTGTTGAAAAAATATGACACAACGGACGAAGGCTTTTGACAACCCTACCGAGACAACAGGAGTCACAGTGTTCATTCTGAGATTCATCGATCACCCCAAGTACAGATAGTTCTTTGGAGTGACTGCAGCGTAGTTAAAGCTCAGTATAAGTCAAGTCAAATACACTGTTGTAAAATGCTGGAAATATACTATAGTAGTGAATGGTGGTGAGTGTATCGCTGTGGAATTGATTTCTGATACATATCGCTCGACTCCCAGCTGTCCTCGGAGACTACTGCTATCACCACTAGTTTATCCTAGCTATACACTAACTGCTATTGTGATATATAAGTTAATATAGATACACCAATATCCTCAGTTATTGGAAAATATGGATTACCGATTAATTATCTCAACAGGAACAGGAGCATGATAGGGGGCGTCAGGATATAATATAGCCAGAACACTGTATTTATCCCCAGTACATTTGTTATAGCTTCTAGTTACGATGTTTCTTGTCAGATTCGAGTAGATGTTTAGGTTGCCTTTGTTATGGTAAAGATGTTTATTTCCGACTGTGACAGTTATGTGGACATTTTTAACCAGTCAGTAATAGTGTGAGGTGAGTGAGATTAACCAGTCAGTCAGTCAGTAATAGTGTGAGGTGAATGATATTAACCAGTCAGTCAGTCAGTCAGTAATAGTGTGAGTTGAGTGAGATTAAACAGTCAGTCAGTCAGTAATAGTGTAAGGTGAATGATATTAACCAGTCACCTTACAGTTTGAGCTAAGAGACAGTCATAGTAATAAAAGACTGGATTGTGTACACCGTGACCCTAGGATTGTACAGTACACCTTCAGGAGTGTCTGTAGGAGTAGCAGCTGGTGGTGGTGGTCTCTTATCAAGTCGAAATCCTTGACGAGTGCCGGAGGATTGTAGGACTACTGAGGGGGGAGAGAGGAGGGGAAGGAGGAACTTTCATGTTAACGCAAGTGTGTGTGTGTGTGTGTGTGTGTGTGTGTGTGTGTGTGTGTGTGTGTGTGTGTGTGTGTGTGTGTGTGTGTGTGTGTGTGTGAGAGATCAGTATGGTCACATTCCCTCACACATACACTCCCCCCCCGACCAACACATTATTGGCACCATGTTCGGCCTAACATGCCTCTTTTGTGTGCCATTATGGTGTTTTTGATGGTGTGGCTGATAGTGTGGTGCAGGCTGTGTGGTGATAGGCGTGATTTGTCTTTGTTTTGGTGAGCACGATAGTAGTAGTAGTAGTAGTAGTAGCAGTAGTAGTGGTGGTAGTGGTGGTAATGGTGGTAGTGATGATGGTGATAGCGATTATGGTGGTGATGATAACGATGATGGTGGAAGTGTTGGTGATGATAACTGTGATGGTGGTGGTAATAGCGATGATGGTAGTTGTGGTGATAGTGGTAATAGTGGTAATGGTGGTAGGTCATCGTACTCTTGCTAATACTGTATCGCCTGTCGTCATTATTATGTGTTTAAATTATTATGTCTTCCGGGGCGTGATGTAGCTAGGTGACGTAAAGCCGTGACGGGGTGTTATTTGGGTAGGGGAGTGACGTTACTGGTGTCGGACTGTGACACAACTAACGTGATTATTGAACTGTTGTCGCATAGCTTTGGGTTTGTAAATTTTGGGTGGACGTCACACACACACACACACACACACACACACACACACACCAGGTCGTGATCGCTTCACCTTAAAATAATTTCAGTCACCAGTAAATTTTTCCCCGTGATTGTGTAAACTGAAGGCTTTCCTGTAAGTGGTGGCTTTTTCCTCACTCCTCTAGCCCTCCTTTCCTTACTCCTCCAGCCCTCTTTTCCTCACTCCTCCAGCCTTCCTTTCCTCACTCCTCCAGCCCTCTTTTCCTCACTCCTCCAGCCTTCCTTTCCTCACTCCTCCAGCCCTCCTTTCCTCACTCCTCCAGCCCTCCTTTCCTCACTCCTCCAGCCCTCCTTTCCTCACTCCTCCAGCCCTCCTTTCCTCACTCCTCCAGCCCTCCTTTCCTCACTCCTCCGGCCCTCCTTTTCCTCACTCCTCCGGCCCTCTTTCCTCCTCCTCCGGCCCTCTTTTCCTCACCTCCGCCCCTCTTTCACTCCTCCGGCCCCCCTTTCCTCACTCCTCCGGCCTCCTTCCTCCTCCTCACCTCCGGCCCCCCTTTCCTCACTCCTCTCGTCCTCCCTCCGGCCCTCATAAAAGCCTTTCTTTTCTTGTACCATTGAGTATTTTCACAGAGGTGACCTGGTGTTGCCACACGGCTCACTGTCACCAATATTACTGACCACATGTCTGGAAAGAATGACTTGCTTCTGATATATTTATATTGAAACATTTCATGTAGAAATTTATATTCCCAAACACTAGCACTTTACATTATGTATCCATGCATACATACTTATGCTGTATAGACACAGTACTTTACATCATGCATCCACTCCTACATACATATGCTGTACACACACATGGTCGTGGTTTATGAGTGTGGTGATGCTGGCTGAAGATCTCCCACATATTTTCGACAACCTTCCGCCTGAACCTTCCAAACCTATTGAAGGCGTGAGTGGGTCCCCTGGGCCCTGGGGCCCTCGCATACTGAAGACTAAACCTTCGGTATACAAAGGTGCTGTGTGATTGACACTGCACTCTACTGCCTTTCGCTTCCTCAACAGTAAAGTCAGGCGCCCATTCTGTAGCTGGGTTACAGTGGCCTTCATATTGAATAACTCTACCTTCAAATATCCTGACACGTGTAGCACCGATCCATCTAGTTTGTTTTATATGTATAGGTCGTAGTGTGTGTCTGGGGTCAGTGGAGGATCTCTGTGGTTTGGTTCACCTGGAGTCGTGGTCCAACACGCCACAGTTATCTTCCCACCCGTGTTCTGCCGCCTTCGTGTCTGTAAAGTAGAATAAGATTTTGTCTCTCTGAATTATTTTAGGACATGTGTGTGTGTGTGTATGCTGGCAGTATGTGTATGTTGGCAGTGTGTGTATGCTGGCAGTATGTGTATGTTGGCAGTGTGTGTATGCTGGCAGTATGTGTATGTTGGCAGTGTGTGTGGCAGTATGTGTGTGTGTGTATGCTGGCAGTGTGTGTATGTTGGCAGTGTGTGCAGTGTGTGTATGTTGGCAGTGTGTGTATGTGTGTGCTGGCAGTGTGTGTATGCTGGCAGTGTGTATGCTGGCAGTGTGTGTGTATGCTGGCAGTGTGTGCTGTGTGTATGTTGGCAGTGTGTGTATGTTGGCAGTGTGTGTATGCTGGTGTGTGTGTATGTTGGCAGTGTGTGTATGTTGGCAGTGTGTGTATGTTGGCAGTGTGTGTATGCTGGCAGTGTGTGTATGCTGGCAGTGTGTGTATGCTGGCAGTGTGTGTATGCTGGCAGTGTGTGTATGCTGGCAGTGTGTGTATGTTGGCAGTGTGTGTATGCTGGCAGTGTGTGTGTCCATTGTTTACAGCCTCTCTTCAATACCAGCGTGTAATGATGGGCTGTGTCTCGCTGTATGGAACAATGCCTTCAAGAACCATTGGTGTGCCTCGTTAGGGGTGTAGCCGGGTGGTTGAGATCATTAGCATAGCTTTTGCAGAATGTTTAATTAGTCCTCTGAATTTCCCCATGTTTTTGAGCTCAATGTAAGTATATGTGGAAATGTTGACTAGAATTAATTGAATAAAAAAAAACTTATCTTGACACAGGTATTGGAGATGACTTTGAAGTGACTAATAGATATTTGCAGTAAAATATAATGATAAATTAGAATACCATCAATAGGTTTCTTTCGTTGTAGGAAATTTTAAGTAGTGAATTAATCCGACTGTCAGGATCATGAAGTTGTTAGCCATTGATGAAAGTGTGGAGTGTGAAGCAGCCCACAGCAGTCTCGAGGTGGTTGTTTATTTTGGGGGTGTGTGGTGTGGGTGGGTGGTGGGTGGTGTGGGTGGGTGGTGGGTGGTGTAGAGGGGTGGGGGTAGAGGGGTGGGGGTAGAGGCAGCTGACACACACACACACCTACACACACACACACACGCATATATTCAAAGCACAGATGATCAGCAGCAATATTACACCACGGCCGAGAGTCACCGATGTTAGTGTTAGTAAGAGTGTGGAGGGCAAGATAGTGTTAAGTGTTCCTCACAGTCATATCGTTTGCCTCACTCACAACAATTGGCTTCTACCCCAAGTCACTTTTTCCCTCATTAAACTAAAACAAAATTATATGAGAAATATGAAAGTCTTAATATTTCGGGTAAATTGCGATACTGAGATTTGTTTGTTTTGTCTCTGTGGAGTTTGTGGTAAAAACTAAATGAGAGTTGTGGAGCCCGTGAGTGTCTGTTACTTACTACCTCCGTGTTTTAAAGTGGCTGCACCAGTCAAACACAGCTGATCGACCCACTACTCTACTGTGGCCTCACCAGCCCCTTCCTCTACCTGGCGACGTGTATGTTTGTATGTGTGTGTGTATGTACATGTATGTATGTATGGACGGGTGACAGTGATGGTGATGGATGGTAAGACAACCAGTCATCTATATATATACTGTATATGTGTGTGTGTGTGTGTGTGTGTGTGTGTGTGTGTGTGTGTGTGTGTGTGTGTGTGTGTGTATGGACGGGTGTGTGTGTGTGTGTGTGTGTGTAATAACACTGACCCTCGCCTTCGTCGTGTACTGTACTGTACCCCTGAGTTGTGTAGGTGTGTATGGTGGGTGGTGGCGGTCACCATCACCTGATGGTGGTGGTGACGGTCACCATCACCTGATGCTGGTGGTAGCGGTCACCATCACCTGATGGTGGTGGTGGCGGTCACCGTCACCTGATGGTGGTGGTGGCGGTCACCATCACCTGATGCTGGTGGTGGTGGTGGCGGTCACCATCACCTGATGCTGGTGGTGGTGGTGGTGGCGGCGGTCACCATCACATGATGCTGGTGGTGGTGAGGACAGCGGAGGAAGTTGGTGAAGCATAAAAAATAGATAATTGGTTGTATCCTGTGACCTGACTCACCCGATACCCGTGTTGTCGCGCTACCAAGTTTTTATTTCCTGAATCAAATCGATCCACAGTAAGGCCTCAGTAACCGATACGGGATGAGCTTGTTAGCCTCTACTCCAGTACCTGCCAGACGCCGACCACCGGACCAGAGGTAGGGAGTCTTGTGTGTGTTTTTAAGCCTCCCCCTCCTACCTCCTAAAGCAACTATCTACCTCATGTCCGGGTCCGATGAGGTTCAGGCATTTGTGAGGTTGGAGCATTTTCTTCGTCGTCGGCCGTAAGTCTCTGCTCTCACGCCCAAACTTGTCTCTTCAAAATTTCACTCTTCAGTTGTGTTCCCGGCTTGTGCAACCTTGACGGCGTGGTGGAAACAACTCCAAGACTCAATACTCAGTGATGCCGTTGGTTTATACACTGACACTCGATCAAGGTGTAATAATTATAATGATCGTTCACTACCCCCCCCTCCCCATCTTGGTGTCAGTTAGTGGTCTTGATAGCCAGGTCACTGTTTGTTAACCTTCTGAAATAAGTACTAACCACCTTTATGACAGCTGCTGTGATAATAGGAAAGTTTAAACGACTCTACTGTAATTTCTTCATATTAAGTGTTGTTATGAGACAGGTCGAGGTGTGTGTGTGTGTGTCATGTTACATCATCTTTATTACAGGACTTCATTACAGGGTAGCGTTTGGGTGGTTAATGTTGAGGGCAAATAAACTAAAGGACTAATCTTCTTGTGATCCAAATATTGAAAAGATGTAATAATAATAATAATGTTGATGATGATGATGATGATGATGGTGATGATGATGATGATGATGATGATGATGGTGATGATGATGATGATGATGATGATGATGATGATGATGATGGTGATGATGATGATGATGATGATCCAAGCCTTTGTGAATGTTTTGTCTTTGTTGTGTTATCCTCAGTGTATATTCTTTAAGGTGTTAATTAACTCTTGTTGTATTGCAGGTAAGGGCGGTGGGTGGCGCTCAGGTGGACCAGGTGAGGTAAGGATGACTGCCACTGGTTAAATGGACCCCTGTCCTAATGGGCCCCTAACCTAACCTTTAAGATTGAAATCCACTCCCTATTGGTGATACGGGTTAGGGTGGTTTATTCATCAGGTGAATTAAGCTGGATGGGTGTAGGGGGGCTAATCTTCAGGTGATGAGGTGCTACTCGGTGTAGGCTCCAGTTGTAATGGTCCCCTATTGGGTATACAGTGTGGTTAGTGTTGCGACCAATATGGGGCCGCGGGAGCCCCTATTGGACCCAGGGCCAGAGAGAGAGGTGACTCAGCATTATTGAGTTGGGTTACGTTAAGGAATTTTATGGGAATCCAGTAACTCTCTCTCTCTCTCTCTCTGTTTTGTATGTTTGTTTAATTGCTTGTATGTTCTCGTTCGTGTGTGTGTATGTGTGTGTGTGTGTGTGTGTGTGTGTGTGTGTGTGTGTGTGTGTATGTGTGTGTGTGCGTAATCCTATAAGATTTTGGTTGTTATACAGGAGTGGTGGCTGCCTGCCAAGCCGTCCAGACACGGGTTCATGTTTCTCTCTCTCTCTCATTTACACGTCCTCTCACCTGTTTACAAATGTGTTTAATGTTCTACTTGACTATTATATGAGTGAAACCAGTTTGTTACACACACACACACACACACACACACACACATATACACACACACACACCAGCATTATTGTATCTGAGTTAATATAGAGCTGTGTATAGTGTACAGGTAACCAGTCTTGTATAGTATAGTGTGTTTATAAACTCTGTTGTTTGCGCTAGTTTGTATGTATATCAAGGCTGTTGTATTAATTTGGTTTTATTAAAGAAAAACTGTTGTGTACGGTCAAAGTTTGTATATATATATTTTGTATATATAAAAAATGTATTTTTGTAGCGGCGGCCGTGTGTGTGTGTGTGGTGGGGGCCAGTAAACCTGTCTTTGTTTTTTTTCTTTTTAACTTTTATGTTGAGTTTCCTTTAGTAAAAATATTTAAACAAAAGAGATGGGACCTGGGGTGACAAATCTCCGGTGAGTGTGGTGGAGGGGGGGGGAGAGGGTAGAGTTCGGGAGGGATTGAGGAGGGGAGGGAGAGGTAGGAGTTCGGGAGGGATTGAGAGAAGGGGAGACGGGGACGGGAGTGTAGGGACCTGGAAGGGATTGAGGGAGGGGTGGAGAGGAGGGGAAGGGAGGGAAGGAGAGGGAAAGATTGAGAGAAGGATGGAGAGGAGAGGGAGGGGTGAACAGGAAGGGATGGAGGGAGGGGGATGGTGAGGAAGGGATTGAGAGACGGATGGGGAGGGAGGGATTGTGGGAGTGGTAACAGGTAAACATCAACACAGCACTGGGAGATGTTGTAGTGTTTGGTCGTGTTCAGGGCTAACGTTACTCCCCCAGGCTCGGTGTTATGAAGAGTCGATGTTGAATTATCACTTGTCATAGACTCTTTGTGAATCCCGGAGCCTCATCGTCCATCTTCTTAGACTAACCTAACATAACCTAACATAACCTAACCTAACCTAATTTATAATATTGGAATTAGTTCATTTTACCGCCACACCACCCCGTTAAGTACTGTACTGCTGTGTCCCTCAGGAGTCATTTAGTTTAAAATTCAGGTTGAAACACGACGATCCTCTCAAGGAAGATGTTTACTAATACGGGCGTTAGTCACCAGGAGCATCACCTTACCTCGACTGTTCTCTCGGGCTTCACATCACCAGGGATCCTTCCCCCCCCCCAATGACCAGGTGAAGCTTGTAGCTGAGTCACGTTTCAAACAATCATCAAACACACAATCACTTGTTTGATTACTTGATCAGTACATGTCTAAAGGAGACATCGACTGTGTATGTCACCACAAGACGACGGACGGTACTTTATGTTAATTTTTAAAAGTATTCGTAATTCCGTTGACAAATTTAAGAACAATTATGAAGATTATTTTCCAAGTGTTTCATCATTTACTCGTGTTAACAAGAGTTTTGATCAAATTCACCATGGTGTCCACCGGGCCGGGTGAGTCCAGCAGGTGGCCAGGTCCAGTATAGCGCACAATATGTCAACAACTATGTTCCCTCTATACATATATTTTATAGTCAGCATTTTATGACCATATTAGTTTAATGTTAGATTATATTGCTCAAATTTCATTATACATCAACACCGTATAAGGTTATTTAAACAGCATTGAGCTGTATAATGAAGCACTGTGCTGTAGGTGTCAGTGTGAACTACCCACCATTATCCCAACTGACGTCACGACTAGCACTAAGAGGTCAAGGAATGTTTGGTTTGGTTTTTACTTTTTGTACCAATATTATAACTCAAAGTGAGAAGGATCTGTTTGTTGTAGGGAAGGGAAAAGAACAAAATTATTCTTATTGAGTTAGTAGAGAGTTCTTGTTACACACACTCTCTCTCTCTTGTTATCGTCTTTCATCTCCACTGTGCCGTAAATTTGGGTGAGTTTATTGGCGGAATGTTTTAAAAATGTGATTGTTTGGTGAGTGAGTGTGTGGTGCCCCTTACTGAGTGTTGGGGAGGGAAAGGGTGAGGGCAAGAGAGAGGGAGGGGAGTTAATGGTTAACAAATTTATTGGCAAAGCTTGGAGTACAGTTTGACACTGAGGGTGGTATCACTTCTCACTGCCACGCAGGACAGAGGTTCATACACAAAGATGTAGTTCATATTCATTTACAGTACAGGTCTTATGTTTTTACGGGGATTAGCCCTCCCGGGCATAGGACAGTGACCCACATCAGGGCCTGAGGGACGAAAATATAATATCCTCCACACGCTCATCCTGTCACTAAATGTAACTTGCCGATGAAATCCATGGTCCTTCAGGCACCTACGCCCTTTAATGCATGAGTTGAATAGGCAAGCATGGACTCTGCGTGCTTCCCTGTTGGGCGCTGTAAACGCTGTAAACGATTTATAGTATGTATGTTGTTTTGTCCAAGTAAGAGAAACAATTGAGACCCAGCAATTGTGTGTAAATGAGGCAGAAAGACAGATCAGCAACCTGGGACTTGGTCACAATTTTCGTGATGCCATATGGCAGCAGGGTCTACCATTAGACAACACATTATGCTTCCAATAACTTCCCAGGCGGTAGTACCTCCCTGTTTGGTAGCTGCCTACTACCTACTACCTATTAAACCTATTTATGAGGGTGAAACTGTTCACTGCCACACAGGTCAGTGGTTCAGATACAGTAGAAATCATATTCTATTTGAAGACTAATCAGTGTGGGCTAGCAAATTTTGGATAAACTGCAAGAATATCCTCAAGCACTTCTGATTCACTGTAGTAATTACAAAGTTCATGATACAATAAGTCAGGTGGCCTGAAGTCTTTGACAGTGTCACATTCAATAATAAAGTGTTCAAGTGTATGCTTTAAAGGTTTATCACAGTTTACATGCTGAGTGTTCCGGTATGGGTACAGCGTTACTAACTTGCCAGATGTGTCTGTATCCTAGCCTAATTCTGGCCACGACTACATCACATTGTCTGGTTCTGTCCTTATGCTGGCCATACCGGTACCTCTAGTCACAAAATTTGTCATATTTACTAATGCTACAACTGTCAGGTCTGTCTACATTTCTCAGTTCTTCTAGATCAGAGTTCATGATTCTGACTTGAATGTTTTTAAGTACAGCATTGGACAGGCCAAGGTCACCGTCAACAATTTCTTTCTTACATGCCTCATTGGCCAGTCTATCACCACGGTCATGATACCTGATTCCAACATGGGACGGAATCCACATATATTCAAGGAGGAAGGAAGGCAGGGTGAGAGGAAGAGGGAAGAGAGAGGAAGATGGAATGAAGGGAGGGATGGATGAGGTAGGGAGGGAGAGAAGAGGCGAAAGGAGGGTTAGCGGAGGAGAAGGAGAAAGGGTAGGGATGAAAGAGGAGAGAAGGATGAGAAATGTGGGAGGGGAGGGGCAGAGGAGGGACAGAAGCTATGGGTTGGTGCTGCTATGGTTAATAATAATAATAATAATAATGATACTGATGATGATGATGGAAAGAAATAAAGAGGGAGAGAGAGAAGGAGAAGGAAAGGAAGGGAGAGGGTTGTGAGAGGGAAGGGAAAATAGGAGGAGGAAGTGTGAGGGAAAGGAAAGTAGTAGGAGGGAGGGGAGAGGGAGGGAGGATACCATTATAGTGTCAGGGTGAGGGAGGGTTTTACAGTGAGGTTAATGTACTTGTGATGTCTCTTCATCACCTGCTCTCTCTCTCTCTCTCTCTCTCTCTCAGCCTCGCCCGCTTCCTTAGCAACCATTTAACTCGTTGGTGTCGAGTGGTTGCTAAGTGAGTCCTGTCGCCACACCACCAAATTCACTGCCATATTTTTGTTTTAATTATTTTCTCTTTCTCCCTCTCTTTCTTCTCTCTCTTTCTGCTCCTTCTTTCTACCTCTCTCTCTCTCTCTCCTTTCATTCTCCTTCCTATTTCTGTCTCTCTCCCCTTCCCGTCCTTCTCCTGTCCCTTTTCTGCTTCCTCTACTTTTCATTCTCCCTCTCTTCTCCTCCTCCCTCTCGCCTCCTCCTTCCTTTCGCCTCTTCCTTCCCACTCTTCCTTCTCCCTTTCCTTCTCTTCATTCCCTTTCCTCTCTTCTCCTACTTCTCTCTCTTCTTCCTCTCTCTCCTTTTCCCCATTTCTATCTCTTCTCTTCTCTCCCTTTCCTTATTCTTCTCCTCCCTCTCCCCTCTCCTTTTCCTCCCTCTTTCTTCTTGTTCTATGCCCTCTCCTTTTCCCCTCTCCTCTCCCTCTCCTTACCCCTCTCCCCTCCTCCTCCCTTCTCTCTTTTCTCCTCTTCCCCTCCTCTTCTTGTCCCTCCTCCTCCTTCCTCTTCTTTCCTCCTCCTCCTCTTCCTCCTCCTCCTCTTCCATCTCCTCCGGCCTCTTTCTCAATTCACTGTCTAGATGATGACTCAAAACATGGTTGTGACAGGCGGGAGGGGAAGGCGGTTGTGACAGGGTGGGGGGAAGGCGTGGTTGTGACAGGCGTGGGGGGAAGGCGTGGTTGTGACA